GCCCGTGTGCAAGTTGCGCACGTTAAAGATCCCTTGGTGGTCTAAAATCGATAAGAGTAGGCTTCGGCCGCCACCTGGGTGAAATTTAAAATTTCCTGCCAACTGAAAATATTAGGTGTGTCCCGCGCGCTCATATGACCTTGCGCAGTTGCGAGCGCCGTAAAACACTTTACAAAAACAAAAATCTATCTATCTAGGAATCTATTTATATATTGATAGATAGATATAAAGTTCGCTACTGCATAAGGCGCAGAAAGGAAAGAAGGTAAAACCAAGCAGTACTTAATAAGTAATATATCTGTCCGTGCTGCTTTGAATTACTGGTTTAGGTTGAGCATCATTAATATTTTATAAGCGGTAGAAGAAGTAATAGAAAGCGTACGCATTGCAATTTGCAGACTAATGTGTCCGAGTTTAGGCAAGTCAGAAATGTTAATATTGTGCTGATGTTCATTAGACGTTTCCTTTTTTACAACACTACAGTGCCTTTATAATAATTTTTATTTTTTTCGCCGGGTGGGAAAGGGAAGGTTGTCAACGAAAAGGCAAAACTGACGAAAGTGCGTTTGAAGATGATAATAAAAATACCAGACGTAGAAACAGTCGGAAGATAGGGAAGCAGAAAATCCTAAAACGAGGTCTGTCTCAGAATTGACAAGGAAGCGTTTTATAATAATTGAGATAATGCTTACACAGTCAGTTGGCTACCCATTCCCTTCATTTTTCAACGTAGTTCTTTGACAAGTCTGAAGTCAGGCGATTTTCCATCGCTGCAAAGGTAAATACCTGCCATCCCTGTAGAACTTTGCGTCAGGGGACCAAAGCCGATCTCTGCTGACGTGCTCCACAAGTTTTGTGTCATCAATGATTTTTTCCCGGGCGAAATATCGCTTCGTAGGTTTTTATGTTTTTAAGTAAGTGTTTTTTTATGGCACTTGCAACACGATAAGGTCATAAATATATAAGTGCTAAAGACTAGAGGTGTTACAAGAGAGTAACCAACACAAAAAGGAGGAGAGATAAGGACGACAGATGTTTTATAGGAAAAAAAAAGTAAACCACACCAGAGCACCCGCCAACGACCCACAGCTTCATAGGTCTAAAAAGGTGAAAGTCTGGAGGGAAGAGATCTGGATATGGGGCATCTACATACTTGATTTTTCCTCGTGTATTGTTAGATGTCGAGGAGAGGTGCAATTTTCGGCCAAGGGATAGGTGGGTAGCTTCTATGGTTGATATTATGTTCTTCTTTTGGACGGAGAAATTATTACACCCTATCAAGCAAAATTCTGCCTGGTGCCATGGCTCTTTTGAGTAGTACCGGTATGCTCGTCCAACTGGTTGATTTCAAAGCATTTTCAACAGATGGCCAAACCTCTCGATTCTTTGATGTTCTATACGTTCCATGACATCCCTGACACATTTCAAGCAGTATCGTTCTACATGCATTCTTTCCTTTAGACATAAATTAAACCAGCGTCCGTGGTGTAGTAGTTAGGTGCTTCTCTACCGCATGCATGAGATTCAAGTTCGATCCCCGAGTGGGTAGATAATTTTGATCGAGTATGTCGGTCCTTCTACTGGGGTGTTGAGTTCCGCTGTCTCACTGGGTTGGTCCTGAGAGAGAGGATCGGAAGGCTGCCTCCGAAAATTATTAGATTTGTCTAAATTGTGTCGATGAAGGTGTAAAACAACTACTTTAAAAAAAACACACATTTTCTGAGGCATCGTATCTCACAGGCAGTGATCTTACTTTTTGTGTTGTAATTAGCTGCCATGCCTGGCATTGGCAAACAGGCGTTGGAAGAAATATGCTGTTGATAATTGTCTTTTTACTTCCATTGATAAGTGCTTATGGGTAAGTGGTGGAGACACTTATTTTGTAGTTGTAGGTTACCGCATTCGTTTTTTAGCATCTTCCTTTCAATGTCCCTGACAAGGAGGGCTCGTCTATAGAGCACGGTCGTGCAGTGCCGCCCAAACCTTTTAATGTTTTATTCTGTAAAGCTCTCACAAACTGAAAATAAAAGAAGTCCGTAACAAGCACTAGCCAAATCTTTTATCAATACAAGGTCCTCGCTGGCGCCTTAACAGCTATTACTGTGCTTATAGTGCCCTAAAACATCTACTATGCTGTGCCAAAGTCATCTAAACATACATCTAAAAATCGTTTAGCAGTGGGTAGTCTGACTTTTAGTATAAATTGCTCGTTGGGTTAACCCAAGCGACAACGACACTCGCAGCGAGTATGGCAGTACATTAATATTAATAAGACAGCACATCTCTATTGTGCTCTTGTCTAAACAAAGCCCACTCTAGGCAGTCTTGAAACTTAAAATAAACGCAATCTCAGATTTACGCTATATTATGCCACTATTATTATTATAAATTAGCATTTGTATAGCGCATACCTCCGCTCAACAGCAAGCTCTATGCATTTTACACTATGTTCTTACCCCAGCAGACCATAGAACAATCATAAACATTTTAAGCTTCCTAGGAAGCATACAGTGCTGGCAGCTGCTTAAGCACTCAAACATTGACAAACTGACAAAATCTTTCCCTGTCTACAGCTGGGTACCCATTCCCACCTGGAAGAAGTGAGGAAGATTCATGTAAGGTGCCTTTCCCAAGGACAAAACAGCAGGCCACTGACGGGATTCGAACCCGTGACCTTACGGTTGCGGGTCTGAGAGCCTAACCTCTAGGCCACTAAAGCCACACCTTAACAGACTAGCATGATTAAGTTTTTGTCAAACTTACCTTGGTTGGCCATCGACGAAGGAAATAGAGACCAGTGGTCCACATCCGATCGAAAAGCTGTCCCACCAAAAGCAAATGCTGGGGGGTGACAAAAGAGTAGACTTTATTTTGGTGTTTATTACCAGGGGTACACGGCCTGTATGTGGGCTCCTAAAATAGAAATATGAAAGTTAACATAATATTGCTTTTGAGTACTTGGCAGACGTTTTGTTTTGTTTCGTTCCTTTGTTTGTTTGTTTTGTTGGGTTTGTTTGTTTGTTTGTTTGTTTGTTTGTTTGTTTGTTTGTTGTTTTTTTGTGTTTTTTGTTTGTTTGTTGTTGTTTTGTTGGGGGGGGGGGTTGGGGGGGGGGGGTTACGCCCAGATCTACGTAATTTTGATCGTGCCAATACAGGCTTTCGACCCTATCTGCCAGGGCTGCTGCCGATAATCAGGGGCAATCCGGGCTGAGAGGGATGAAACATCCCTGCAAAAAGACCAAGATACTCGAACTCGATAAAACTTTTGTCTCAACTCTGGAATTGAACTTAGTTCTCCTGCTAGCGACAGCAAAGCGCCTAGCCGCCCCCCCCCCCCCCCCCCCCACGGGGCGGTGCTACTGACTGAAGTGTCTTTAGGCCATTCCCAAAGGGGGGACATTAACCATGTTCTTATGCACAGTAGAATTGTAATCGTAAATTTGTTGTTTCATTAATGTCATGCTCATAACTGTGCCTGGACGGCAACAGGGAGCTGCTGCTTTTTCTTTCCTAATCCTTACTATAGTCATTTTCCTCTACTTCGTTTGTACGTTTGTCACAGTCTTGTGACCCGTTAT